CCTCGGAAGTGTTGAACGTCAGGGTCTGGGGGTTAAGGGTCTTGCGGTTTAGTGTTTTTGGGCATGGGCCATGGGGTGTGTATGTCACTAGGCATCAGCATGGAGGCGGGGGGGGCAAGCCAAGAAGCCTGTGCGATGCAGTACGTGTTGCTGAATTATTGTCATTGCATTCTTCCGCAAACAGCGCTTATCGTGAAGCTGGAGGTGCCTCGGATGCTGCTTTCAAACTCCCAGCCTCCAATGTACGTCCCGCTGATTTCGAGCCAGTGGCAGCTAGAACGCATGAACAGGTTGTCAAAGCTGTGCAACTTGCCCCCTGTTAAGTCATTTTATATATGTGATCATAGAACAGGAAGCATTGGCCTGGGCTAGTGGCGAATAACTATAATACTTGATTACTTGCGATAGTCAGACGAGCAGAGATCCAAGCGCAGCACGCACTTGAATATACTCAACCCCATCACCTAGAACCCCATACAAAGCTTCTTTAGGTGCCTTCTTGCCCGGGGTGCCCGTGCGGCCCGTGTTGATCAAGTACACAGGCTCTCATGGCAGCCTCGCGTGTGCAGTCGTCGAGCGCAGCCGTCTGTGTACCTGTGTCCATCGGACGTGAAACCATCGGTTTCTAGGACCTGGAGTAGGCCCTTATTCCCTTTTTTTAGGGTTCAGGTCCCCTTATAAGCCCCTTTAAACCAAAAAGGGGTGCAGGAGTTGGTTCCTGTCGTGATTCAACAGTTGGAGCATGCAGTCATCAACTTGAGAACCCCGATTCCCTCACACTGAACTCTGAACCCCTCCGAGCCTTCTTCAATGCTTCATCGCAGCGGCAGCTCCAAATGTTGACAGCCCTTGTAGCCTGAATCAGTCCGGCCTTGGAAGCTTGAGATTTGCAATTTTACCTGAATATCACAAAACCTTGCAAGAGCCACGTGCATATGCTGCACGTGCTTCACCTGCGAATTGCTGCTCAGCAAGGATCAGCATCACTTAGCCTAGACCCCACCATCAGAAAGGAGGGCCCTCAGCTACCACATATAATACATCATGTAAGATATAGTATACAATATATATATATATATATATATATATAGATAGTACATGACATAGAACAGCACAACAAGATGATACGTAGTACATAGTATGTAGTATTCAATACATAATACATGATATATACGATAGTATACAGTCATTTACAATAATATACCATACAAAAAAACATCTCCCTTTAGCCCTGGGAGGTGACTGGGATCCTTCCAATGTCAGCTTCCGAGATGCTCAGGCCCCAAACGTTCCCCCTTCTTGCCTCTGGCAAGCTTTCGGTTGAAGGGGGTCACGGTTTAGGGTCTAGGGTTCAGGGGTTTAGGGGGTTTAGGGTTTAGGAAAAGCCTCGGGGGGGTTAGGGTTTAGGGTTTAGGGAATAGTACCATAAAGCCTCCATAATTTCAACTTTATTCCCCAGGGGGTCCTTATTACGATCATACTATAACGGAGCCCAGCACCATATTCTAATTATTAAGGCCCCGACATTAAGTGCCCTAAACCCGAATCTCTTAACCCTCGGATGTCGAGGTATAGAAATGGTGACAAAACTCATAGGGACGGACCGGGGCTGTGAGTCAGAGGTTTAGCTGGGCGTGATCATCTTTGGAGAAGGCCTCAATTCTTCATTCTCTCAGGCGGAGAAGCCCCTCAACCCCAGTGAAATTCTAAGGTCCTTCTGCCAAGAGACAATATCGTGCTAATAGTGAATGTTCCGGTCCCCTGCGTTTCCCGCCTTTTTTGTAGAGTCGATGCCTGCCCATCTCTCAGCCAGTTGGATTTGGATTTGCCCAATGTCTTCTGTCTGTTTTAAGTCGTAGCACCCTGAACCCCTTCCCCTAAACGGTGGCCCCTAAATGCTCTAAACCCTGAGACCCTGGACCCCAGTAGCCGTCAGGGCGAGATGAAGCCAGCGGAGGCTTATGGCGATCGCCAGTGGTTAGAGCAGCTGCCTGCCCCAAATCGTGTGAGCATTGCTCGTCGAGTGCTGTTGTCATAGGATTGGATTGACAAATGTTGCTTGTATTGAAGGGCGCTAGCGGGTGCTGTTGTTCATACGTTCGCATACCACGGGTGGGTTAGGGCTTGGTGTCTGCAACAATTTAAGGCTTACGTTTAGGACCAACAGTTACTATTGGTCTTACTTGTTCCTCCGCTTTCTTATGAATCTTGAACTTGCCATGGCTGCCCCTGCCAGGCCGAACCACTCGGCCATAGAACCTGACCCCCAGCTCCGAAAACCCCGATGCACGAACCTTCTCATTTAGTCCATCCTGGGGCCGCAACTGGGAGTTTCCGAAAATTAGGGGTACCTTATTTGGGGTCCTCAGTAATCAGGATCCTACTACTTAGGGTACTTTATTAGGGCCCCCTCTTTTCGGAAACTCCCAACTCTACTGCCAACAGCTGAATTCCGAGGTTTTTGGGTCACATGCTGCACAGCTGCACAGCGGCTTGCCTT